AACAATTGAACATAGATTATGGATCTTTTTGCTACAAATTATATAAATATTAACAGAAAAAAAAGAAAAAGAATAAAAAATAAAGACAGTAGTTTAAAAATTACATACACTAAAGACTCCAAAGTTGAGCAAGCCAGGTTGATTAAATGAACCCCAACCATAGCCCAAGATTCCAGACAAAAGAAAGTTCAGGGTAAATGTTGATGCCATGGAACAAAAGAACTGAAACAGAAAAACAAAACAATACAACAATAAATTAGTGATTTAAGTTTTTAGGGCATGAATTGTTGAAGAGTTGCAAACAAGCTAAGGTGAAATCTGCAATAATAAGCCAGGGGTTTCAATAAACTTTAATTTATAAATAATACGAATTATGACAGGTCCATTTGGGTAATTGCTTCCTTCAAACTCTTTATTGCTTGTGTTCTTACACTTCTCCAAGTGAGAGCTTGGTTCCAAAAGGAGCTTCCCTCTTCCAGGCTAAATAAAACTCCTCCAATCGGAGCCCCAAAAGCAGCTGCAAGTTACAAAATCAAATACATGCAACATGTCAGATTTACTATACCTTAAAGGCCCTACAACAGTGATTTTGTTACAAATAAATATGGTGAGTCCTGGGACTCATCTTGTGAAAATCATGAATCTTGGTCCATAACCAATAAGCACAGTTCAAAAAAACAAGGAGGCCTAAATTGAAAATGCAGGGCCCTTATGTAACAAGACGGTTAATCTGGAGACAGATGCCAAAACACTTTATATTACAGCTTACTGAAATTAAAATATAATCCTTATATATATTTGAAGCACAACTAATGCTAAAATAAATATGCATCTTTACACAACAGCCACAGAAATCACTCCAACAGAACATTCTACCAAAAAATCTTCAACTCAATCGATCGATCATTCTTTTAATCCTATGGGACACGTGCCATTATATATTTTGCGTCTTTGGGGATTTTTATGCATTAGGGATGCATGCGCAGGACGCAGAAGTAACAAAATCACTGCTACAATTAAATCCTATGCACATAGTGTTATATTAATTTAAATACCTGCCACTCCAGCTGCAGCTCCCCCAGATACAAAATCTCTCTTATCCCTGATAAAAAAAGAAGAAAGGTAAAAACTACACTGTGACTTATACATGTAAGTAACTCCACTTTCAATGCAAACTCAGAGGGTCAGGAGACTTATTTTTAAATTAAAATCTTTTTCATCACACTTTTATTCTATACCTGCCAACTTTTTCTGAGATATGAGCGTGAGATTTTTATCCTCAGAGTTTTGAAGACTCAAACTCCGAAGTCTACGTCCGAACCTGTCAAAGTTCCCAAAAGATCGCGAGGAAGGTATTGCCATTTATTCATTTTACACATCGAATGGGTCTGAGTTAACATATTTTTGGAAATTTTCAATCTTTTCAATCAGGCGTGAGAAATTTGAGATCGAAAGTTATCAACCCGCGGGCGGGAGACTCACGCCTAAGGCGTGAAATGTCAGTTCGAAAATAAGGAAAGTTAATCTTGATTTTTCTAAACGCAATACTTTGAAACTGTTGAGGAGAGAGATGACAGAGAATAAATTTCATCAATTAGTAAAAAAAGCAATAATTTTGGTCAAACCCAGCGTGCAAAGAAAGTAGTGTCCGATAGCCCAGGGCTAGTGGATTTTACTATTGGGTTACTGTATTCTGTATTCGGTTCTTAACTTGCCTGATGGGCAAGTGAAGTTTTTTGAGGAATTCAAATTACAGAAGAACTGTGAAATCAATTCTGCTCATCAAAACGTTTTTTGGGCTAGTTGAAATGATGTTTGGGTTGGTAAATGTTAGCTTCAGCTTGCCCAACTGGCAAGCTGTAAAAATGACTTTCTTTGCACCCTGAAACCACTAGCTTGTGAATACAGCCCACATTTTGCAATGTCACTGCTGGTTTTCCAGCAAAATGATACCTGATGAACAAGAGCAGAAATTCCACACTGATGACAGGCTCCATTTCATGGGGGAAGCAGTGGTAGCATCACGATCTCAGGCTTTAAAACCACTAAGTGCTGAGAGCCCCCTCTTGTAAGTGACTATGACTTAGGGAGAGAACCAACAACAAACTCAACCCACATGTGACACCCTGAGCGCCCTCACCATTACTCTACCTTTGCACCGGACCTTTCTTCATTGTCATTGTTATCATCATCAAATTTATTTATTTATTTATTTATTTCCCCCCAAGACAATAATGAGTCACAGGTCCTTTTACGTAGAGAGCCTTGTGGTCTGACTCTCATCAGCATATCACCTATTAAAAAAAATAAGTAACCACCATCTTGTGGTATTTTCTCTTTCCCTTTTTTTTTCAGCAATGAAGGAAAGGATTTTAACAAACCTGAGGAACACCTGCTCCAATGATGGCTCCACTGTGAATCATTGGACCTTCTTTACCAACAAACAAGCCTGGCATATAAAACAAAAAGTAATGTCCTTTTTGGAACATGAACTTGAACAACATGACTGTATCCCTTTGTAGTATGCTGCAATTTTATTAGGGGATAATGATTTATATTAATTTTTTTACAGTACATCTTTGACTTTATTCAATTTTGATTGTTTCCTTTCCAAATCAAATATTTTGATTCGATCATGAAAATTTTTGTTAAACCTTATAATTATTTTCAAACAAAAACACTGCATTCAACAAAAATCAATCAAATTAAAAAATATTCAATTAGTCAAAGAGCCTTAACTTTATGTAGCAATATGTAAAAACTTAACAGAAAAATAAAAGAAATATATAGCATTTTAGTCTACAGTGGGAAATTTGCACATCGGCCAAAAGTAATAAAAAACCCCACTTGAACAACAGAACAACAGCAAATGACTAAGCATTTGATTTATCATTACAACCCTTCCACAACTGCCAGGAAAGGCTAATGTCAAGCAGGATTTTGTCATATTAGATAATTGTAAAATGATAAATTAAGACAATGAAAATGATATTTGTTCCTACCACCAGCAACACTAAAGAGGACTCCCACAGCCTTGCATATCAGTGTTTTCAGCCTGACTACATGAGGAACCTACAGCAGAATTCAAACAGACTGAACTTAAGGTATATGTTGTAGTTAATATTTTATTTCAGGTAATTTTTATTTTTCTTTTGTTTCAACTTCATTAGCACACATTACCATACCCAAAAATCAAGAAAAACAAAAATTACCTGAGATAAAAATAATTTCAGGTGAAAATTTTTATGTGTGTAGGTTGTCAAATTTAGTTTCAGTCCTGAAAATTTTAACCTAGCAGGTTGAGAATCAACTTATTTAAATAAATTCAAATTTTAAATCTTTACAAACACAGATTACATGAATTTTATCTAGACTGTGATTAAAAAAAACTAAATTCAAAATTTAAACAGTTTGTCAAAAGTTTTGCCTGAGTAACACATCCATATTATTTTATTAAAAACTTATCTAAAGAAATGTGACTGAGAAGAGATTCTAAACAAGTGTGGCAGAGTTGAAAATTTGAATGCAAATAATTTAACACAATAGTGCACAGGATCTGAGAATTTAACTGTTCATTGAACAATTCATAACAAACCTTTACTCCATTTAAGTAACACTTTATTTCAGGAATTCCACTTCCAGCTGCTACAGGCTAAAAAAGAAAAGGAAAAAAATAATTAAAAAAATACTTGTTTCATATATAGTAACGTAAATTATTTTTGGCAAAAACATGACAACATAACCCTGAGGGAGAGAGACACATTCACTGCACAAAAGATGTAACTGAATGTACATCGGAAACATAGAAAGCCCATGATTTCTTGATTCACTCAGAAATGGGGCTAAGTGCAAATAAATAGTCTGCCAAAGGAGAGGAAAAGTGTGACGTCACATTACCGTGGTAACAAGATTTCTGGATCACAACAATAGTGATCTTAAGCAACGACAATGGGGTCAGCAATGGCAACGAGAATGGGAAAAAATAATAGGTTTAGATTAGCAAAACAACAGCTTTGCATGTGCAAAATGTTTTTTTGTACAATTCTTTGCCATCACTGCATGACTATAACGTGAAAATACCTAATTTCATGTGCCTGCTTTATGGAGTAGGTGAACACAACACAAAAATTTTCTTTTTCTTTTTCTAAACTTAGATACGGTCCTTTCGGATACAACCCCAGACTTAACATCCTGTAAATTATTAAATACAAATTCTAACAACAGCTCAAAATTTAATGTTTACCTCAATGGCACAGAGAATGGCAGCAACCAAACAGAAGGCACCATTAAATGCCATGAAAATGAGAAGAGTTACAGCTAAACAGCCCTTGGGTGTGCATTCTAAAAGAGCTAACAAACTGAACGTCAAGGATAAAGCACTTAACACGTGGTCTAATCTCTATGTTTGCTGTAAGCATTATTCTTCTCAGAGTATACGAAGAAATAGTAGTGATTAAAAGCATCTTTTACGGTATGATTCTCGTCAAAGGATACATTTATGAATGGTCTCAAATTTCCAACTCGTTAAAAGGGTCACAAAATAATCAATAAAAACAGCCACCTGAAATCAAATTAAACGGAATTTTAATAGAGAGCTTGGAGGAATGTTAAAGAAGAATATATTGTAATTATATAATAAGTGTTGTTAAAAACTGAATCATTGGATAATGCAATTCTAGAGCTCCGAATGGCTTAGCCATCAGGGCTGTGCTCTAACAGAGCCCGGTGGCCCCTGGCGCCTAACTTTTGCCCTTGGACGACTAGAAAATCTCATATTTTTCATACAAATCATATGCTGGGCACCCTAGATTTTACAGTTTCAGAGCACTGGGCTCCCTTCAATTTTCCTTAGAGCATAGCCTTGGCCATTATGGTAAATGAGCCATAATACCAGGTTCTCTAAATATGGTAATTGTATCCGTCTGCTCAAAATTAAAAACAAGCTGAAAATTGGTTGTTTTTACAAATGAAGTCGGGAAGAATTCTCAATATTTTGACAGGCGTTTTTAATAAAACAATAATATTCCACTTGCACTTGTTGGATGTGAGATGATTATAGCCAATAAGGTGTGTCCTACCACCTCATATCCAACGCGCACTCATGGAATAATTTATCGTTAACTATCACTGGTGGATATAATGATATTAGTCCACTGACCAGTCCTGTTAGGATCCCAATAGCAGCTGTAACTAACCATCGTACAAGTTCCTGACCCCAAAGTGACTGCCAATAAAGATCAGAATCAAGATATCAAGTATGCTGTTTATAATTTTTATAATATGAAGTCAGTTATCACGATCTCATTTTTGCTACTAATAAATAAATAAACCCAGTAAAAAGAGTCAGCAGCTAATTTAATTTATCTGACATTCTAACCTTTTTATCTCTTGATGCCAGCATTTTTGAAAAAGGTTTGTTGTAACACACATCATAATCAAGGCTCTGCAGACGGAAAACATGTACATGTTGAACAAACACACTTGATCTTCATCGCTTTGTTTTTCACCCATAAACTCAGCAGCAATTTGAGATATTCCCATTGATCTCCCATTGGCAAAGTAAGGAGTGAAATTACCACAGCAATGGACTTGAAAGTCCATTAGTGATCTCTTCACGCACACTGCAGTGGCTGTCAACAATCACCATTGCGGATTGGACAGTAATATAAGCCTTTTGCAGCTTACCATTCACATGGTACAAAACCGCCACACTGAGACACAAAAGTCGCACTGGGGCAAGACTAACAAAAGGCATACATAATTTTAAAAGGTAATTTCCCTTGTTTGTCTTGTCCCAGTGCGACTTTTGCGTCACAGCATGGCAGTTTTGTACCACGAGAATGGCAAGCTGCAAAGGGCCTATTGACAATTAATCCAGAACAGGTTGGTTGAATAACAAAAGCATCCTCACCATTAACTAGCTTCTTTAAGTCTTTTTGTCATGTTCTTAAGCTTAAAATGCTTTAAAACATGATCACAAGACAAAGTCTGCTCCTGGAAAAATAATTTGTGCTGAAGGCTGCCTGCTTAATTTCCGCAGGTAGCAATCTGATTGGTGAAAATCATGGCAAATCCACCCATCCTGCCATTTTACTAGGGAAGGAGCACAAGGGGCTGGTAATCAAGGCCTAGTTATACAGTGCAATATTATTGCACCGTTTTCCATCTTTCCTTTATTAATTTTAACATCTGCTTCTTTGCTCTTTCTTGACATTATTTTCAAGTATACATACATGCCCTGGTACACCAGTATCTATATGTTGAAGTTAATATTTTAATTCAAGTGATTTTAAATTACATTATATTGTATATTAACTACAATCTACATCCCTCCTTTGTCCAATGACCCACTAGACTGTTCACAGTTCTCTATTTTCGCGTAAGACCATCGAGATTAAGCACTAAAAATGCATTACAGGTGGCTATCTTGCTTTGAGATGTATCAAGTCTAGACCATGATCCCCTCTCTATAGTGGTACCCCAAGGACACCCACTCTATAACGACCAACGAAAAGAAGCTCACATATTTTCTCTAAAATTAATCCCTCTGTATATTAGAAACCAAGATGGACACCTGGCATGTACCATTGGTGTCAAACAGGGTTCCACTTATATCTAAAACATTATTCCCATCTCAACAGTCTTAAAGAAAAAAAGGGGACTGCGAATGGTCAAATGAGCCAATGTTATTTGTAGCTCTGTGTACCTCATAGTCTTTATGTGGCAATTTAGGTTTGCGTGGATCTCCAGAGTTGAGTTCTATCTGGGTGTTGAAAAAGAAATCATTTCATTACACCACATAAGCAACTAATGAAATACATGTATTGCAGAACCTCGCAAAGCTCAGGGGAGGGTGCCCCATAAAATTCTAGGAATGGAAAGACGGGAGAGAAATAGACTAAATGGTGTAACTGAGATATACTTCGATCATCTCCTTGTTGTTCTCCCCAGGCTTTAAAAAGGAGGAAATCAAATGGGATTTTGTAGTCGCGAGGGAAGGCAAAGTTGAATAAGTCTTGTGTAGACCCTCTTTGCATTACACAACATGAGCAACTAATGTATTTATTAAAAAGGGTATTTCATGATAATTAAAAGATTTGAATCTTTTGCGCTAGGATTTCTGTGACCGATGAACGCATGCGCGTGTATAACTGTTAAAATGCAAATGGCGGGACAAGGAAATCAGAGAGAAATCATAGCAACATTTTAAAAATTCTGCTGAAATATTATTTCAGGGTTATTTCTAAGCAGTAGTCACAAGTTTATATCTGATAAGAACCACCTAGAATATTATTTCAAATAAATGGCACGCGGTACATGACACAGATGACATGACACTGCATGACATGAGCAGCTGCACTACTCACCAACTCTTGAGCGCCACCGATAAGCCTGATCCTTTGATCTCCTTCCATTGAACTAAAAAATGCTTACTATTCGTTAAAGAAGCCTCATAAGCATTTTTGTTCGTTTTTAAAACTTAATTTTGCTTTTATGCTGGTGCTTTCCATTCCATCCACAACATCGACCCTAAATACTTCAGTCGGTACGAAACCTACGACAGGGCGACGTCACGGGATGGACTGGACACTAACAACTGCAAAAAGATGTCACTTCCGGTTCTTTCGGGGACACTTCGGGGCATTCGGGGGTTTTGGCGGCTAGTGAATCGCGGGGAATGGCGGGGTCGGGATTGTCGGGGCTCGACGGAAGTACGGGATGGGCTGGAGGGGGAAATTCCCAAACTTGAATTTTTAAAATAGAAATTAAAAAAAATCCGACCCGGTTTTCTCCAGACTCTCTCTCGTTCCAGGTCATGAAAAGAAGATGAGCTTTGGGAACATGGTAAGGTTGAATAAGGTCTACTGTTCTTGCTAATTAAATTTTAACTATCTTTATTGCTTCCATCACTTTTAAATGCACTAATATAACATAAATAAACTCAGTGACTACAATCAGTTTTAAACTCGAAAGTGATAAGGATTCTAGAGAAACCAGAAAGGGCTTGAAGTAGTTGACTCCCTAGCCTGCAGACCCTCTATTCCGTCGAGCGCTGGTGATAAAATATAAACCGCAGGGATTTATTGACCGCCAGCGCAAGGAGGTAGTAGTGGGGTAAGAAGAAAATAGATTTCTTTCTCGCGTTCCGCGCTTGTTCTCGCGCGCTCGCTTCGCTCGCGAGCTCGCCGATATTTTCGAAAAGAACGAAAAGAAAAATAAACCATCGTCTGTGTGCAGGCTATTGACTCCCTGCAGGGGTGTAACAAGGATTTTTCAAGGAGTACGCACAATTTTCCAAATTCAATGCCAACCTCCCACTCCCCCTCCCCCCTCCCCACTTACCTGGCAAATAAGCTATAGTACTTTTATACAAATGAGTGATTTTTCTCTTTAATCACGGTGTTTTTTCGACTGATAGAGTCACTGTTGACCTATTCTTTCCCTAGTCGTCTACTGCATGTCTACTGCGAAGACAGGAGAGTGGAAAAAAAAAGTCCGTTGTCTTAGAAAAGATAGTATATGGGGAAAAACATAGTTAAGTGAACTGAGGCAAATTTTGATTAAAATGATATTTTCCACACTTTATTATTCCCTTTTTTAATTTCGTCGTATTTTATTTTTTAGCCTCGTCTTTTTCAGGTATACGCACGTGCATACCGTACGTATCTACGCTACCGTCCCTTCCATTACATAACATTATGTTGAATACTTATTTTACAATTCAATTAATGATAACAATGATATCTTATCAATTTGTTGGGTTTTATTATCTGTGAATGCCAGATATAACATGCCATATGAATGAGGCTCGAAACTAGGCAATCCCGGCTAACATTTGATGCTCATGTGATGTTTGATTGGATGATGCAGCATTTTTATAAAACATAGACATTCCGAATTGGGACTGAGAACTTATAACTTGCGTTCTTTATCGCCAGCTTCAAGAAAACGGCCTCGACGAGCACAGTTGGCCTATCTTGATAATAAGTTCTTTCACAGCAAGGGCACTATACTTAATCTAGGCTCAGTAGAGGAAAACGGAACTACATCGAAAAAAAAGCTCGTTTTAAAAACGTCGATGAGGTAATTACTGTTTTTGTTTCTCAGCTCAGGTAATTAAGTTGACGTTACAAAATCTAATGGAACTTAACTCAGACTAAGGCACAAAGTTATCCTTTTTCTCAGTTGCATCGGTAGGGACGAGCTTAAAGAGGGCAAAATAGTTCATGACAGCCTAACCCTTTTTTTCCCTAACGCTCATTTTCTTTTCATAAGGGTCTGGAACAGGTTATCCTAAAGCGGAGACGAAGTCAAGTCATGAGCTCAGTTTTTACCTCTAGTCTCTAAATAAGGAAAATTTTAACAAACATGAGGTTGACCGTCATCTCGTAACCTGCTATGAAATCAGTCGGTGGCCGGGGTGCATGTGAGCTCGGTTACCGGTCGTTTTGAGACAAGTTTCTTCCGTCGAGTGGTAAACAGTTTCACGAACTTGGCTTTAAAAAATGAAGAATATTCACCCAAAGTGCTGATTTTTTTCACCCGCTAACCATCCTTAAAAAGAGATCGAAACTTTTATGTAATTTCACTGCTGGAGTTTGTATCGAAACGACTTTGTATCTAGCCGACCAGTTACCGTGAGCTCAATTTTATATAAATTAAGTCCGGTTTTAATTTCCCGATGCTTCCTTTTATTAAATGGTAATGCCGGTAATACTGAAAAAAAGATCGAAGATCATATATAGTTTTTAAGCGCCTGCTTCACAAGGAACACGATAGTTTCGTATGTCCGGGATACACAGTTTATCGGGATGACAGGGACTAAAAAATTCTTCATTCAATGTCTCCATGAAGGCTTTTGAGATCAACTACCTTGCTGCTGAGGCATATTTTTGTTTGAGTCCACCTGTTAGCTTTTGGCCTGGGCTCAGAATTTCATGTGACAGCCAGCTGAACGAGCGGAAGTTTTAAGGCGACACATTTTTCGGATTCCTGGGATGAGTTGGTCATCATTAAGGTTTTTTTGGTCTCTGAAAGCATTAGAATATGGAAGCTTTGGTTTTGCTAATAGCAACGTTTTCTTATCGTGAGCCAAAAACCAAAGCTGAAGCTCTGCGGGCCAAATTAAGACACTCTCACTCTGCCCGTTAGAGCCCTCAGCTAGTTGAAATCCCCACCCACTCGTCCCCCAACTTTTCAATCCTTTGTTTTTTACCAGGCCGTTTCAACCTGGGCACAAACAGCCTTCCCCGCATTTGATTCTCACCGGCGTTGTGAAAATGCTGTTACGAACGGATTTTCGTTCCTTACCCTTAAGAAAATGTGTTAATTATTACCACTAAAGCCTAAAAGGTAAGAATCATCTTCCAGTTTTATTTTATGGCTAATTTTCACCCGTTTTTCCGAGGGCAGCTGTCTCGAACAATATGTCCAATGCAATGTGCCGTAATATGAAATGCTGGGCGCGCTGTAGTCCTTATGTTTACTTTTTTTCTCACAACCTTTTTTCAGCTAATACATGTTAAACTTCGTCATAGCTTAAGCAACACACGAAAGATTGTACCATAAACAGCAACTAAATTTTCTGCTAAAGATTGTCTGTTTTATGAATTTATTTTGGAACGAATGATCCTTTTCATGGAAGACTCGATCGATCGGCAGTTTTCTTTGTTCCTTTGTTCCGTGAAATCGGTACAAGCAAGTTATTTTCTTAACGTCGAGCTACTCGAAATAGTTTTTTCGCACCTTTTCCAGCTTTTATTTTAGACTACACTAACTGCATATAAGCTTAAATAGTTTTCTCAATACCTCCTTTCATCTATTGGGGACCAGCTGTAATTTAGCTAATTTAAAGTTGTGTGTGAAAGGCTGTGTTAAATTAGACCACGTTGGTGCTCTATCAATTTTGATAATTTTCACGAGACACAAAAAGAGGACAATCTATGGGACAGTAAGAAACCTTAATGTGTTTCCTTTTTGCAGATTTTAGTGTTCTCTGGAACTTATAAACTCTCAGTATTAAAAAATTCCACTGTCCAGTGACAAATTCATATTTGATTTTTGTTTTTGTGCCCTTGAAACGATGGAGAATAACAACTGTGATAACGTTGGTTTATTTTTATGATGTATTTACAGAGGACCAAATTTCAGTTCGAAGCATATGTTGTAAATTTACTACCAAATGAAAAACCCATGCTGACAATCAGCAGCAGTAAGAAAGAATGTTACTTTTGTTATATTAAAAGAGCCATTTTTTTTGTAATTCTTTTTTTCTGTGCCCATCATGTCCAATCTCTACGCCATCTGTCAATCAATAGTGTCAGTTAAGTGACATTGATTGTTGCCAAACAAGAAACAATGCATTCTTCTGCATGTTCAAAATGTTAAAGCACAAAAGTATGGAACTTTTTTAGATTTTCATTTTTGATGTTACTTGTGGTAGATTCCTATTTCTACTTTGTTTTTTGTGTGTGTGCTGTGATACAAGTGCAACATGCCTTTTCTTCCTGCACTTATTGTATTTCCCTTGAATTTTGTATTTAGCAAACAATATATTTATTTATTTAAAAACTCACTTTTTGGATGCCAGTGTTGATTTTCTTGCTATGATCTGGTAAAAAAAATGTTTGCAACAACCGTTCTGTTTATCATTTAGTTAAATTCATTTTGTTGCTAATTTTTGAAGCATCCTCCATATTTCACCATCCTGAATTTTCTGACTTAAAGTGATAATCAATAACAATAAACTCTGCGAATGCATCATCGATTCACCATAACTGATTACTCTTATCAATATATTAATCATCTACATTGATTGATGTTGATTAACATTAATTAATGTGGCAATCAACTTGTTGTGTTTGGGAAAGACAATGCATTAGACTCTGTGCACTAGCATTGTTTCTATTTCTCGATAAATTATCAAAACAATGTAATAAATATTATGATTTCTGAAATTATTGAACCATATTTCTCTTGATACATTTATGAAGAAAGCTAATTTTTTTCCCGTGATAGACGGCTCATTTACACAAGCACAAAAAAGTGGAATGGCTTCCATGATTATACCCATTTGGTTCCTAAAAAGGTTGCAAGACACCTACTGGGACCTCCTCTTTCCGAATACATTTGACATGTAGCAGGGCTTGCAGGTGCCAAGAGTCATGTCAGTTGTAATGTTCTTGTGTTTGTTTACCCTACTCATATTAGGCAATTTTGTGGTGCCTTAGCCAGTGTTAAAAGATGAATGCTGCGACAGAGGAAGGTGGTGCCAATTCAACTCCTCACAAAGTAAAAGTTGTTTCACCTTACCTTTCTGATTCTGCTGGTACAGGAACATCACAAGACAATGAAGAACAACAGGTTAGGACTTCAATCATTACTAAAATCTTGAACACAAGGGCAAAAGGCAGGCACCTATTTTATAATACAGTCGAAGCTCTCCTTTCGACCACTCTCATAAGCGACCAGCTCTAGTTACGACCACCTTTTTGAAACCCTATTTGAAATGTTCTCGTAAGCGACCACTCCTGTAAGCGACTGCGACCACTTTTGGGATTATCCAACTGGACTTTCCTTTGTGTTTTTTAGCCCTCGTAGGCGACCACTCAGAGCCCTATTCATATAAATCAACACTTAGATGAAACTGCACACTCGCCAGTGGTTCTAATATTTAGATTTGGGTTATTTTGGTCTAAAAAATTGGACATAAAGTTCAGCCTTGTCTATATCAGATATAAAGACACTCATTAAACATTAATTTATTTTGTTCTTTCTTTAATGAATTATTAATCAATAAGCAACCACCCTCGATTGTTTTACCTTGCAGTCATTTTCAAGAGCTCATTCTCGTAAGCAACCAGCTCTAGTTTCGACCATTTTTTTGAATTCTCGAGGTGGTTGCTTACGAAAGCTTCAGCTGTATATGCAGTACAGTATTAATGTACAGTGTGCAGTGTATTTTGTGACTGGTTTTCCTTTTGTAAGATGTCTTATTATTTCTACCATTTTGATTTTGGAATACAGAGGAGGTCTGGGAAAAATGTAGAAAAAGGTTTTTTGGGATTTTCATGTTTCTCATCCATTATTAATTTTATACCCCATCGGGCAAAATGGTTAAAGGCACTAGGTAACAACTTCAGCACAGAATTGACCAAATACTGCAATAATATCATCATGAAACAGCCTTTTTAAAACAAAACAAAGACTGAATTCAGTTTGCTTTGTTTACAGGTAGCAGCATCTTCTCTGGCTAACCGCCAGCAACGACAGCAACGAGTATACAACATGATGAAAGATCTCCAGCAAAAGCACTTAGCAACACTTTTGCAAGGAGAAATGAGTGAAAGGGAAAATAATGATATGCAAGAGTCTCAGAACATTTGTCGTATATGTCACTCACTGGGCGATGAACCACTCATTACACCATGCCACTGTTCTGGATCAGCTAAGCATGTACATGCAACATGTCTGTTAACTTGGTTTAAAAAAGCTGTAAAAAACACCTGCGAACTCTGTCGACATAAAGTTGCTATCAAGAAGAAAGGAAGGCCATATTCAGAGGTTGTTGATATGTACTTTTTGACTTTAATACATGTATGTCTAGTACATAATACAATGCAACTACTGAAACTGACACACTTGGAAGAAGTAAGCGTTTATCCAATAGCAACGTTTTTTGAAAGCAAAAAATTCTCATTTTTTTGCAAGCGAGCAAATAAAACTCAAGGTTCAACTACGCAGCGGTTGGAAACGTTAAAACCATTTGAACTAACCTGACCTCTCAGGAAACAGCCCTCAAATCTATGAATATTATCAGTCCATTCACAAAAGAAAAAAATTATTGTGCATCTTTCGTTTTCAAAAAAAGTTGTGATTGGATAATCTTCCAAGTGCCCCAATTCGGGTAGTCATGCTGTAAATGCTTGTTTTATAAGTGCATAAACATTCAATCCTAGCTATCTGTGTGGTACTAGTGTATAGCAAAGATTCATGGTCTTAAGAAAATAACCTTTTCCCTCAACATTTGCAAATGCTCAGCCAGCTTTATTATAATTGTCTTGGATAAGGATGTATGTAACTACCCCAGAAGTTATTTCATTAGCCCCAAAAATTCACTAGCCATATAGCCAAATCCACTAACCCCCAGGCTGTTGGACACTTATTTTTTGGCATGCTGCTCTTGAGTAATTATGATATTTCCTTTATTAAATTTCAGTGGCGCAAGCCAGAAGACAAGCCTATTCCAATAATATGGTTTACAGTTTTTCTTGTTGGACTATTTCTCAACGTATTTGCCATTGCTGTCAATGCATCAGCTCTGTGCTACACCACGCCTTGTGTGATTTTCTATGTTGTCAATGGATTTGGAGTGATTCTGGATGCTGCCTTTCTTTATTTCTGGTGGACAAAGTGTTTGTTCTTTTGGAGGAAATGGTGTGCCTTAAACCAGGATTGGTCAATTGTGATTGGTCCTGGCCAGTTAGCTCCTCAGCGGACAAATCAGGATGAACGGAATGGAGATAGGACTACTACATCATGCATACAAATGCCTCATATTGTATAATACTACAAAAGCAAGTGCTGTTAGTAACATGTAATAAGAAATCAAGTGCTCATCAAATTTGATTGACATTTTTGGTTTATTAGTTGACTTAATGGCCTTGGTGATGAATTAATATAAATTGCAGTCACTTAACTTTGTATCATAAGATGAAGTGGCAAGTAGTGCATGAACACCCAGGTGGGTACAGACTTGAATGGGACCATTGGTTGACAACTCATCAATGTCAAAATAAGCTGAGAACGGTGAATGATCAGTTAGGGTTTTAACTCTAGTTATAAACTTGACTGATCAGTTAAATCTAAATTTTATCAGTCATCAGTCACGCTGAAGGATTTCCAATTTCCCTATGTGTAGTCGTGCCCTCCCGGCAAGGTGAGGGTATGGCTTCACTTAGGCTACTTCCAACAGCTCTTCAATTTTAAATGTCATTGTCATCAACAGTCCTATTCGGAACTACTACACTCACTCAGATGACCATGTTACACTTCCCTATGACAGAATTCCGCTGTTCAATAGATAAATAATTTACCTGCCAGTGAATTATTGTCAGCTGTGTAAAGTTATTATTTATGGCAAAGAACTTTATTTTAAAACTTATAAGTTATTAATTATCACATCAGTATTACCATATCAAATTATTTAGGTTGTATAATATAATTTATTTGTAATAACATTACCAAGAATTAAGTTGAAATTTGTTAGGTTTATCAGACTAATGTGATATAATTTATAGATAATATATTGACAGTGGTTGCAACTGAGAACTAAATTTTGCTTATGCTGACATGACTGGAAGGGGAAATAGACTTAAAAACTATTATTTCTAGTTTTTACGCTTCTCTCGTTGATCTTGTCATTTTTGAACAAAAATAAAGGATTAGAAGGGGAAAAATGTATAGTACTTTGTCATTCGCAAATGAGACATTTATTAAAGCACAAGTTTGAGTTTGCCCGAGCCTCTGTTTCAAAGCAAGGCTAAGGGCGAAGCTACTGATATGAAAATCATTTTTATTCTCATGCAAATTGAACTTATATTCAGTTAAGAAAGGTTTTGCACTTAGCCTCGTTTTGAAAGTGACATTTTTTTGGCACTTACCAATGGCCTATCAAAATATTACCTGTAGATAACGTATTGGCCAAAATTTACCCAAAGAACAGTCAACTGTTACAAAATAAGAATCAGGAATATGATTTTCCTAAATTCCTAGGGAATACAAAGAAAACGTTCTAAAATTTGTCAGTTTGAGTGGGGAGGGCATAAAGGCTTTCCCATTTCTAAATTTTCTTTTTGTTTATACATTATGTGGTTTTGAAAAATGAATGATCAATAGAATTAAAAGTCGTCTTTATATGCGTGGCCTTTAAAGTTTCATTTGCAGATTAATTTTCTTTCAGTTTTATTTGATCTTTCCTCCCAGCCCTCAACCCATATACACAGAACACAGTACCTATACGGTAGAAAACTCGGTAACTGAGTCAGTGAACTCGTTGAAATGTTCATCACGAACATCACATCGCCTTTCTAGCTATCAGGGAAGTGGCAAGATTTTTGTGGGGTATACAGAGACGATTATTTTTCTTCGACGGTGGTCAACCATCAGCTATTATTAACAGTACAAATTTGTCTCCAAAACTTAAACCCATAAAAGACGCTAGTAGACTGCTTGCAGTCCGCCTTTTCTCTTAAAATCCATAGGTCCACTTCTTATCCCACTGAGCGCGATTGCAAACAACGACGTAACAATAAGGGATTTACGCCCTCGTTTATCACGGCTCGCGTGCATGGGTTACGCGTAGAGTACTTTGCAAAGAAAAATAAAAGACTGCTCGCAGTCTAGCCACCAGAAATTTCCCAAACGGTGGCAAAACTATTGATCTCAACTGATCCTTCGTGAAAACGAAAGATAGGAAACCTCTATGTTTTTATTATTATATAATATCTTCGACATTTGATTGTTCCAATTTAGGTAAGCACGTGCGAACAGTGGCATACAGCCCACACCCTTGGACTTATAAGCTGGTGTCTAAAAAGGTTTGGATAACTCAGTTTGTCAAAAGTGGACAGAATTTAAATAGTGAAGTTCCTTTTAGATAAAACGAAGCCGTTTGGAAGTTCCATGGTGTGGGGTACGAGTAACTACTTGGTTCAACTTTTGGAAATTTTCATCTATTTTATCTATTTCGTTTATTTATCTTTTTTAGTCTATTACGAAACCCTTCGAGCAGAAAAGGGGGAGGGAAGGGTAAGGGACGTCCGGAATCGATGTCCCATTATCTTCACAGTCAGGGTTGAAAAGACCCACTCCACTCTCTAAACATTTTTCCCTCCTCTTGGAACTTTTCCAGTTTGCGAAGACTAATCCGGGCGTGAACTGCGTGTGCAACTATTTCAACTTGAACTTTGACAAGGTTTATTTACATAAATCAACAAGTTACTTTGAAATTAAAATGTACAAATATTGTCAACAGGATTCCATCAATCTACTCAAAATGAACTTTAGAAAGTACCAGAAACTGAAATAATCTCTTTCCGGTCATTTCATTCCTTTGCGTAAAAAATTAGACTTTTTTCCTATGCTTTCCTTTAGTTACATGTACTCAGTATTCTGGTTACTTAAAGTAAAAATGGACTGGAAAAATCTATACTGGAGTTTTCAATATGAAATGAGTTTTCCTCTCAGTTACGTAACTTAGGTATCCACATTCTTTGAAGAAAAGACCAAGTTTACGATCGACTCTTTAATTTTTTACATAGCAAGTTGCCCATATATACAGCGAAGAAACATAACTTTTTTACCGCCTTCTTTCAATTTTTGCTTCACGTTCCTCGTAGTAAAACATTCTCCTTTTTTTCTCCTTGTTTCTTCAAAGGGTCATTTAATAAGAAAAGTCAACTAGCTAAGCAAAAGACGACACCGTTGTACAGCTTTGTAACCTAAACTACAAAAATATACAAAACATATAATCAGGAAAATCAATTTTGATTTAGATAAAGACACAAGTACCCCAAATCTGTTGCTAAGCAACAGAAAAGTGTCCAGAGTCACGGTGGGTACTCTTTCGTAGCTAACTAAAATGTTCGATTATGTTCACCGTTAATTACGAGTCATCCTCAACCCCTTTTTAAAGCAACTGTTTTTTTGGTGGCATTGATGTTACTGTTCACCGATCACTTATGAGTGACTGCCGGTCGACGGTCTGTAAATCTTCTAAAAAAGTGGGTCATATTTCGCTGTTGTCCAGTTGGAAGAAGAAAGTTCTTGCCTGCAAGGTGCTATTATGGTGCTTATCTTCCTTTGGCGTCCTGAGACAGAGGATTCGTGATAAGGCTTATCAAGTTTTGGTATAGTGGAAGAGGGTAGGGCCATTCTTAAGAAACAAGCACCCCTGAAGATTTCTGCCTGTTCGTTTTTCGGCAAATCTTTGACTAGTTTTACTGTTTGCTGCCAACGACATACTTCTCTAGTTATGGAAGGTGCTTCGCTCGCCACAGTGACTCGTCTCTGCAATCGTCTTCTGTCCTGAACTGCCTCTCTATAACGGATTCCGCTCAATTTTCTTTCATCTTTTGGCTCATTTCCTTTTTCGATTTCCTTTCCAAACCCTTCTCCTACTGCTAAATCTCCCTGTTGCGCCTGCCGGCGGAGAACTTTTGAGGGAGCAACGCAGGACTGCGAAAGGCTTCTACGATACTTTGGCTTGAGCCCAGAGTTGCCATTGATGACTGTAGTGGGTGATGTCTTCTCTTCATTCTCTTTCTCGGTCCAAGCATGAAACTTTCCTGGAATGTTCTCTGCAGGTTGCGCAACATTATCCAAAATGTTACTCTTCGGAGAAGAAGCTTCAGAAAACCTGCGGCCAGCCCACCTGGCCTCTGTTACATCTGCGGTGGCACTTTTAGGCTTCTCTTCAGTAATTTCGCCATCTTGAGTCGTAATCGACGACTTCACCTTTTCACCAACTGAATTCAATTCGGACAGAGATAGCGACTTGTCCGACATGCTCAGGCGAAATGTCGGCCTTGAATTCGAAGTTGCGCAATCTTTGCCGTCAAAAGTCTCCGGCAGGGAAGTACTTTTTCTAACCACTTGACGCAGTGATTGTTCAGATTGTTTCCTCAGTGGTGTCAAGCGTGGTAAGGTGCCAACACTTTGCTGGGCGACTTTTAGTGGCGGGCGACACTGTTCCCCATTTTTGGCATCGTAATATTTTGCGATGTACAAGTGCTGGATAGCAAAGTTGGTCATTTTGGCGGCTGATTGTCGTAGGATCTTGTTTTTCATTTTATCAATATCCTCTAGCTTTTTGTACAGCGATTTTTCCTCGCACGGGTTTTTGCTGAGCAGGGCAAGCGACAAATAACTTTGCGTCTTTTTCATGACTAGCTTCCTTCAGTGTTCTGACTAAGATTTTGTCGGCCGTGACTGATACATCAAGACGGACCAGATTTAACCTCGCCAGTTAATTAAGTACCATTTGGTTGTTTGAGCACCGTGGTGTCTCAATCTAAGCAAGTTTGTTTATTTACTTTACAAGGCTTAACTTAATTCTTGTTTGTACAGTACCTTTTTTCTTTATTGTGCGCTGGTTCGAAGTTCACTAGCATGTAGAAGAAAACAAGAAGTATTTACAACTTTTTTGTAGGCATGTTTGACATGTTTTCCTTTATATTAATTGGCTTCCCGAGGGTACATGCTAAGTACTGTAGTACCTAAAGAATACTTTGCAAAACAGGATTTGCTTCACGTGCACATCTTGACAGCACTAACTTGACAAAATTTTAGACAAGGCAACCATGACCCCTTAATGTTTGATTTTTTCGTCCATGAAAGCATTTTAACCATGAGAACCTTGATTATGCACACTAAATAATGATGATGTGAGCTGTTCTGCTAGGGTTTATTCCCGGACTGTCTTTTTTAATGCGCTTTGAATGGCCACGCAACTCCGCCGAAATCAAGCACTCTGATGTTTCAGTAATGAGATCACGATTTGGGGCGGGGTTTCGTGAAACACAAAGGGTCAGAATACGGATAAGGCTGCTTCTGAGATTGGCTCGCTTTCACTTGGTCTAGCGATAAACAAGTAATTGTCCAGACTTTTCTGAGACTGGACGGAAATAACTAATACCCCCGAAATGAAAACACGTGAATGCTCCGTATAGTTGAAACTCACGTGCGTGATTTTAAATTAAACAACATGTGCTAATTAATACACTAGTCTTTTGCTCGGAATAAAATTACGTGCGGACAAGCCATTAAACTTAGTTGCCGGCCACGCAACGCATAACTCGCAGGTCCATGTGTCACGGAAGCGTAGTTTAGTGTTTGCATGCCCCATAAAAGCGTTCAGGCACTTTTTCTTTGTTTGCCATCTTCTCAGAATATAGTTACATAACACATCCACTTTTGCTTTTCTTGGGGCTTTTCTTGGTCTTCGTGTTCTCAAAGAATTAGGATGATAGGAGGAATAGACTGAGATGATAGAAATTGGAGGGGTGAATAAGAAGTTAACCTCTAAGATTCGGTTATTTTTTGACTCCTTAACCAGAACTGAAAATCCCTATCCCAGGCATGCCATGTGGCTGACCCGCCACCTCTTGCGTTTTGTAGACTCACATGCGGGATGTTACATGTTATTTTATACAAGAGGACGAGCGTGCTAGTCGCACAGGTGACTTCAGGTGTGCAGTCCGCATTCGCCACATGTGCACTTGAAAATTGCCGCACGCGAGAACTCACGTGTCATTTTATGCGACTGGGCGAGTGCGCTACTCGTGCATGTGACTTCAGGTGTGCAGTTGCGTTTTGAAATTTTCCGCACGCGGGAAATCACTTGTTATCTAATCACAAGACGTAGCGCCAAAGAGGATGCTATTGGAGCTATTTTGCTATGAATTTGGATATAGATGTTTATTATTGTAGATGGTTTTAGGTAATTGCCTTCAGATTTGCACTGCTCATAACCTACTGGGCAACATTGCGACATCAACATTGGTGGCGGTGATTTTCACCGGTGAAACTCGCGCGCAATCTGTGTTGCATTGGTCGGGACTGAAATAGGCTAGGAAAAACTCGAATGATAGGTTGATGGTGTCAAGAAGGAGACTGCGCATCCCACTCGAGTTTTCTGGGAGTACTAGCGAGGGCGAAACATTTTTCCAAGAGTGGAACTGAGGAGTGGAGGCTAAATAGTGCCTAACCTAGGACGTACTGATTCTCCGCTCTTAGTAAGCCTCTTTTTTCGGAAAACAGCGGCCGACTCCGCCGCGGCGCAACTCGTGATCACATAGGAATTAGAAATAGGTCTCTATCTAAACACAGGAGGTGAGCGGAATGCGTGAGTCTCAGTATAATTGCACGGGACGGGAGCCAGTGAGGCTCCTGCATTGGACCCGCTTCCCCAACCTCGAAAAGCGCCCTGGGGAGGAGGTTGCTGCTTCACATTAAACGCTTTCTTTCTAATAAGTACCCCCTCGTGTTCTTGTTAATCACGAGCTTCCCCGGGGAGGGGGGAGGTACTCAAAAAAGTTTTATACAGGGAGGGTACGTCTCGCCGAGGTTCGACTCCTTACCCTTTTATATACCATTTTTTAAAGAAAAGGTACCCCTATCGTGTGCCGTCTGTTGAAAAATGGTTCCCTTTTCACATACCTAGTTTAGAACTTGCATCCCTTTCAACTGCTGCAAATGCACTATCTTTAAAACATGAATAAATCGCAAAATCAAAACGTTTTCTCGACTTTTTCACAGCCTTAATTAGAATGCATCTGTCTGCTCTTTTGAGCCTTTTTACCGACTGAAGGAGAGGTTAACTTTGGGCAAGCTGTGATTGATTTGTACAGTGCTCAGGCCTCATTTGCTTGGCCGCGCGTTGATCAACTTGATCTGGCCCGGCCACTTTGGCGCATTTTGGATTACCAGCTATTTCGAGAAAGGTTGTCGGAAAAAGTGCACGCGACAATCCCGAAAGGCATTGTGGGTGGTTTTGAGTTCTCTGTTTTTCAAAGAAATTTGAAAGAATTGGCACGAAAGGCCATGGAAATGTGTTTGCGAGTGCTAAAGTACATTCAACAGCTACAGTCGTCAGGAACAGAGTATTGGTGATAACCCATGTTACCTTTCGGGATTTTCGCGTGCACATTTTTTTCCGACAACCTTTCTCGAAATAGCTGTATCGCTGTATACATCTCTCTTCTCTGCAGAGGCACCTGGAGATCTCTGAAGGGCTGGGGAGAGGAAAAAAAAAAGCGCGAGGGCGACGATGGGAAGGGGAAGAACCTCTAGTGAGCAGAGAGGGAATTCTTCGAGTTTGTCAAAGTCTGCTGGATTCGTTTCTTTAAGTGGGAAAGCTTTATTGGTTTCTATAACTGATACTATCCTATTTCTATGATTCTAACATGTTTATTTACCGTTGCACTTCGAATTTCGTGGAAAAAGTTGTGTTGGAAAGGGAGCATGGCGGCCGAGATGCCCAAATGAGATGCCACCTTGTGTATTACATTGAGGCTGAATTTGAGCAAATTGTCACGAAAATTCGTTTGAGCATTAGGGACAACAACTAACTGCAGAATAAGTTTCACTGACCTTTTTCTTGGTATTTCCCACAAATTTTAGGATCGTTTTACTGTAACTTTACTGTGTTACTACCACAGAGCCTGGGTAACCTGTGGAGGAAGGACAAAGTCTTAGAAGCATGTGGATCATGTAGTCATGCAAAGACTCGGTCGCTTATCTCGACACTTTCGTGGGACATTATTCGTAATAGGGATGTTGGTAGTTGTGTTTTGCCTCAAGAATATCCGGCGCCTTTTGCCACCAAATTTCACATGGATCGATCTAAGAAATCACGAACAGAGCCTTCCCATCTTATCTCCTGTCGTGGAACCTCGATTGTTCCTCGAACAATCTTTGTTTCTGCTTGTAATAATTTCGTCTTCCCCAAACAAGCAAGTAAACGCAGAAAGGAGAAATATGATAAGAAAAACTTGGGGGAATGTTGGTGAAACTCGTGTACCAAACGATGTCGCATGGAAAGTTGTTTTTATGATGGGAAAAGCACAAGAAGACAAAATGGACCGGGCAGTCATGGCGGAGCATAGCAAAAATGGTGACTTACTTGTTGGTGACTACAAAGACGGATATAGAAATATTCTCAAGAAACTCCTTATGGCATTTCAGTGGGCATCCAAAATAAAGTGTTCCTATGTTTTGAAAACGGATGACGATGTTTATATCGAGATTCCCAAGGTGATTGAGTGGGTGATTGCCCGAAACGATGTGAATTTTCTCTATGGTGGTAATCTTTACCATGCTGAAGTAGTCCGAGACAAGAGTCATCGGCATTATGTTACCGAGGAGGATCTCTCCCTGGAACACTACCCTGTGTACTGCAAAGGTTCAATGATGGTAGTTTCAAAGAGTTTGGTTCCAAAGATGGTGGATTTATCAAAGCATATAAAAAGAATTGGCCCTGATGATGCTTACATAGGACTCCTAGCCTTCCAGCTAGGGTTGAAACCGGTCCAAATAAAAGGATTTCATCAATCAAGTTACATATATATGTTTATCAATTACTTAAGTACATGTCAGTTACAGGAATTAATAGGAATTGGAGATTCTCTCAGTCCAAGTCAAGTAAAGTATATTCATGAAGTTAAAACATCATTAGCAAATGGTAATGAAGTACCTTCTACTTTTTGCATATCACTGCGAGGAGAATTTCTGCTTTCACTGTTACTATGTTGTACATTGCTGTTGATATTGTCATCATGCTGCTGCAGGCAAAGATTTTGCTCGAGATTAAAAAAGTTGAGATGATCTTTTAGCGACCAGGGAGGCCCTGCCAGGGTAAATTCTGACAAGCGACATGACCCAAAAAGTAGAGACCGCGCGTAAAATGATATCGCGACAAGAGACAACCTCCCTCGGCCAAATTGTGACAGTGATGGCAAAGCCGACAATAAGCGACAAGCATTTATGAACACTGACACGAGACGTTTTAAAATTCAGACGGGCGACATGGGACCCCCCCTGGCAGGGGCTCACCAGGGGCCTGTTTCTTGAAAGTCCTGATAATAAATGGGCCAGGAAAGCTTTTTTAACGTTTGCTGTGTGTACATTTGATATCAATGATTTCAGTAGCTTTGCGGATAATAGAATAGAACTATCGGTTAACAAACAAAACAAAATGGACTGGCTTGTTTGTAGGAACTGCTCTTTTAATCTTTAGCTTTTGATTTTATTGGCTTTGGCCATAAAAGTTACCCGGACTTTCGAGAAACAGGCCCCATTTGATTTAGTATTGCTTTTTAAATGCACTCTTCAATACACAGAAAAAATATTTAATGGCTGTGTAGAGGTCTATATTTATTTATCAACAAAATTCAGTGTCTAAGCAAAAATGTTTCTTCCAAAATATGTTTGACAACCAATCCAGTCTGTCCCCTTGGCCTCTGGGGACAAGGTAGAATGTTCTTGGTGTTCAGATCACAGGGACAGTGCAAAGGGATCTGAATGCCTGTAATAGGCAAGGGACAAGGTTAAGTAAAAATTACAAAGTTATCCAGACCTTGAAAACTGGGGCTAAGGTGAAAATGATACACTTTTCAAGGGGTGGGGGTGTAATGAAAACTACAAACCTAAGACAGACCTCAGACTTTTAGGAAGTTCTAGCCTCCTGAGGAGAAATAAAGTGAGACGTAAAACTAGTGAAAACAAAAGACAAAAGATTCAGTTTAAAGAGTATTCAGAAAATAATATGTACATATTAAAACCAAGGAACTGTCAAACATATTTTAGGGACTCAGATTTGAGTTTTATTGTTTAGAAGTATTTTAAATCTTAGAATCCAAAATTGAGGTATATTAAATATGACCCAAAGCACAGTTTGGCCCTGTCTTGTGAAAAGTTTGCCGTTTCACTTGGGCTGTACTACACAGGTTTAGGATATAGAGGATATTACATGGCCGTGTGGAGATGCAAAATTTCTTTTTGAGACTGAAAAAAATTTCACAAGGTCTTTGCTCAACAATCCTATGGATTTTTTTGTTGAAATTGAAAAAATTGAGTAAGCAGACACAGAGTATTTATATTGTCATTCTTGGTTATCTTGCCAGAGTTGTGCTCAAATTATATTTGTTATTATAAGTATTTAATATGTTAAATTATTTGTAAGAGAGAGTTATACAGCCAGTGTAAGAGTATAATACTTTATTGACTAGGAATGCGCAATATTTTCTATTTAAATGATTTTGCAGTTGATATAATGTATGTTGAGTAAAAATTGTTACAAAATTTTAGCACCATTGCATATTGATTTGTAGCTAGCTTGGGAACAGGCTCTTTATAGGGGAACTTGGGCAAATATATAGTTAATTAATTCACCTGACCTTTAAAAAAATTTGAGAAAGTATTCTTTTGTTCTTGGTTTTTATTTCTGAGAGATCCCAGATGACACAATGATAGTAGAGAGATTAAACATTGTGTTTACGGAAAACAACAAATGTGAATTTATACCACGAGACCAAGTTTCCCTTTTACTTGTTGTTTACTGTTTATTATAACTACATGAAAATTGGTAGATTCATACCGATTCTATCCATAAGAATTTTTTTAAGCTGTTTTTATCTGCTCATTTCTCATTTTGAAAATTTCTCAACTTGAATCTCGCGTTTGCCATTTGCTTTAAACGGGATGCTTAATTTCTCTATTACCGATCTTTTTTTAGTCAATAAATTTTTCATAAAGTGGAAGGAAACAAAATTCAAAGAATGAGCAAATAGGATACTTTATTACATAAATAATATAAATTAAACAATACAGGGTGGCAAAGTTCTCTTTATCTCTTAAAAAACTTAAATGTCCAAATCATCATCAGGATCCTCATCATCAAAATCATCTGCTTCATCAGGTTGGTAGAATACCTTCCCCTCCCCTGAGGGGTGTACTGTAACCTCACTTGTCTTCTTCTCATGGTACATGTAGGGAAGCTGAAGATTTGATCGAGCTTGTCGTTCGTCATCAGTCAATTTGAGATTAAATGTCAGGTTCTGAGTTGGATCAACCTGAACAATTAGGAAGGTGATGATTAGTTGATTTAGTCTGAAAACAAAAACACCCTTTTCCCTGATTTCTTAGGTGCAGGTGGAAAGAGACTCTAAAAAAACGGAAAATAAGGGGGTTGAAGATACATGACCGCCGTGTTGGTGGAGAAATTTCAATATTGTAGGGGTGCATTAAGTAAGGCCCCATTCAGAAAGTGACTTCTGCTCTGATTAACATCAAATTCTACCTTAACCCTTTAAACCCCAAGATCAAAATTTGAATTCTCATTTGTTGCCCCTATTCATTTCCTACAGAAGTATTGGGGAGAAGTTGATAAAATATCAAGCAAATTCATCTTGTGTGATCATGTCCGTAATTCTCATGACCACTCTGTTTTACAAAGTATTGATATCACAAGGAGAAATTTGATGCTGATCACTCTTAATGGGGCTTAAAGGGTTAAATTGAAAACAACAACAACAATAAGACAATTAATTGGAAGGGGAATATAGAAGTTCGTCAAAAATCAGCTGGAACTTACTCCAAGCACCCCCTCATCTACACAGCTGAAGGTATTTTTTATGAACTGGCCCTTTGTCGGAGCAATGGCAAGGGATCTTGGAGGAAGGGTATGTACCATAGAAATCAGCTTGTGAGAATTGTCCACCAATATTCTCTTTATCATCTCGCATTTGAAAAAACTGAATTAACGTGATAGCAGTGTATCAGTAGGTTTCAGTGCGTATGAACTGAACATTTTACTACAGGTTTGAGGGTTTAAACTTATACCTCTGCAACTGGTTCATTATATTTTACAGAACAGGATGCATTCCACTCCCTTTCTTCGTGTTCTGTCATTTCATATTCATCGTTAATAGTAATGCTTTCAACCTAACAAATAACACAACAACAATTTGATAATGATAAATTAATACTTCTATTCTCAGTATAAATATATTATCACTATCAATGCCAAAAATTAAGAATCAAGATGGAATCCATTAGGAAATTGAGTACCATCAAATTCCGAAATAATTAGTTCTGAGAACTAAACATTTTGTGGAGCTGATTAAGATAAAATCCATCAGGAAATTGAGTAATAATAACAGTACTACGAATCTCTCCTCTTCCTCCAGTACAGACATTTTCATATTAAATCCATTTGACAGGTCATACCTTCTTCAACACTTTTCCTGTTTTCCTCTTGTGTAACAGTCTACACCAACTGACTGTTTCATCTGAAACGAAATTCATTCTATGAGCCACAAGTCACTTTAATACACGGCAGAATGTAACTGAATGAAAAGGGTGACATCAGGCCAGTAGTCTCCCAGCAGATTAAAAGGTCCAGAATCTACTGGATGGTTAGACACCTTAACAGATCACCGGACAACATACCGGTATTTTGTTGTTGATTTTCATGTGTTAGCATCAAAATGGATGAAGCCAGGAAGTTAACGGCAGTTAATGACTGATCATTATGGAGATCAGAATGTATCAAGCAAACAACTTGTACAACCTGATAACCTGAAGACAGGAAAAGAAAAAAAATGAAAACAAAATCTGGTAAATCACAGAGAATAAATTATTCGAAAACTGAAGCGTTTGATGGATTGAGAACAGTAAAAAGTTGTGTTCACTTAAATCAGATCCAAATTTCTCCAAAATTAATAAGAATTGGCCTTGTGTGCTGATCAAACTCCTGGGACTATTTTTGAAGAAAAAAACTTTTAACAATAATTTATTTGAGCTCAAATAATAACTAATTATTATCAAACAAGTAAATCAGGAATGAAATCAATAATGAACCAGCTGATAATAACCTAAGACTGAAGTGCACAGAAGTTGCACTATACCTGTTTGTGAGTTTGTTGAGCTGCTGGAATACAACTGATGCAGTGATGAGCATACAGCTGATGTTGGTTTCCAAAGCAACAGCTTACTTAAGGAATCTATCACAATAGCCACCTTTATCACACTGTCTGAAAAAAATACATTGAAAATAAAAATTGTAACAGTTGCTTTAATTTATCACCTTTTTATAAGTGCCTCTAGCCTCACCATAAAAGGTCAAAATTTGTCTCCTTTGACCTCAAAAATGGAAGCATGGTGGAAGCACTTATTTGTTTACACGTATCTATCCTAACAAATGGCAGTCTATTATTTGTTTGGCTTATTTTTACAATAACAAGCCTACATCTTACAGTACAGGTACATATGGATCATAAATACAAGTAAATGGAGGTATTTGTTCTCTTACCAGAGTTGCTTACAAAACCATCACTATTCAGTTTACTCTTGACAATTTGAGCCAGATTTGAGTGTTGATGGATGGTACAGACATGTTTGTCACTGTCACCACTGCAAAAAACACAAAACATACTTACAAAATTGTTATAGAATAAGCATGTCTGATAAATTATTTACATACACAGTTTTCAACTATTACTTTTCTCTCCTTAGCATCCTTTAGCTTCATCATCAAAAGCCTTTCCTATAAGCACGAAACAAAATCTGATCCTTTTCTTCGAAAAGAAATCCCACCATTACAGTCATACTGGCCACTTGTGTTCACACAACTTCAAAATAAAAAAATTAAATAACTGAGTAAACCAGTCAACCATTTATTTACCAAACAGGTGTTTAACCTAAGTGGGGCACTTTTAATGACTTGACCACATTTAGACGTTCAGTTTAAAAAGACAGCTTTCTAAAACAGACTAATATTAGCTTACCATTCAAGATTCCACCCTAAAGGATCGGTGAAACCATCATAGCAAAAAATCCTGCAAAAAATTAAGCCCTTGTAAAACTGAATTGAAGGGGTGCATGAAAAATTAATAATGCCCACAGTGTCTTTACCTGATATTATACAGTTAGAAAAATATGAGATAATTTATTAGGAGAACCATCTCGTTGATTATATTTTGCTTGCCTTAGGACCATTTTGTTACATAACAGTGGCATTGGTCTGAAATATTATAATTAAAAAAAAATGCATACTTCAGCTATCCATAGGAGAAATAAAATCCCATGTACAATCTTAAAACCTCAATACCTTTCACTAAAGCAATACTAACAATTTCTCCAACTAACTAAAAGAAATATAAAAGGAAACCTGAAATACCTACCAAATTTCAACTACCAGAACGGACTTAAATCTCTAGTCACACTCCTAATATGTGTCAAAAAGCTCCCTAAAAATTCTCCGCACTTTTTCAGAAGAGGTTAGAGAGAATATTTAGGGAGAAAGGGATCGATAATTAATATTACACATTAACCTGTTTCTGACCTTTCTCTCATCTGTGGATCAAATGCAGAAAGAAATTGGTCTGTTGGAACATCCCAGAGTAGAGCATGCACATAGTCAGCACTAAGAAGAAGTAATGGATATTGATTAGAATTTCATAGTTGGACATCGCGAAAAAAAGGAAAAAAATGCAGGAATAAATTCTTCTAATGTGTCAATGTTCAAAGAAGTCCCACGATGTCTTTTTGGGCTGGCTTTGATAGGCAATGCAGTCCTAGTCAGAGTCATATACAAAAGGACCAAGCGCCATGATCTAGTGAAAACAGTTTTCCAATTCTGCTTAGAACTCTGTCACTTACCAGATAGGTAAAAGTGGAAGAACTAATCAAATAAAAGCGCATGGGAGTAAGCAATGTGATAAGTTCACACTTATGTCTCTTTTCTGACTCTAACAATCTGGCTTTCAATAAACCATAAGTGATGGTGTCATAAGCAGAGTTGGAAGAGAATGGGTTCCGATTCTTGAAACAGGAGGGTTTTGTTAATGACATGGACAGACAGATGAAAGTGTCACAAATAACGTTTTGGTCAGTAGTAAGACAGAAGGTCTTCTTTACATTATTTTCATTAATATTCAAAGTTATTATTTCTTGTTAATAGTCACCACTGGTCCCCCCCAAAATGATGTCTGAGGAACAAGCACAGAAATTGGGACATTCCATTTTTTAACCACACCCTCCTATGGAAGGCATGATTTTGACAGGCCCTTATCTCTCAATCTGCGATTTGCACAGGTCCCACAGAAGGGAGGGCCTAATCACAGGCCTTGTAGTAATCCAAGTAATCTGAGTTTCCGACAGGCCCTTGTGGTTAAAATGCTTATTGCAAAACCCTTTATTGTGGTTGAAATATCAGATTCTGATAGGGTCATTCTGGGTATTATTAAATTATGCCTTCCACACGAGGGGGGGCGGGGAGGGGGTGCGGATAAAAAATGGAATGTCTCGTGTTACTATATATCCAGATCATCATCAGTATAGTGTGGAATTTCTGTGCTTGTTCCTCAAACCTTATTTTGCGGAAAACAGTGGAGGGGTCGCGAAATGTGGGCTGATTTTTCAGTCTACTGCAAGTAAGGCTATTCCTTTTTTTAAATAATGAAAAGCTAGCTTTAAATACTGGTAGAAACTGTTTACCTTTTAAGCAGAGACTTTACAAAGCAGTATAATAAAGGCCTGCCACTCTGACTTATGCTATCTGCAAGGTAAGTTAAAGACTTGGGCTGCAATATCGAGAAGGGTAAATGTTGCTGGTTTAAAGGCGTTGATGATTTTCTGAAGCTTCTTATCTTAAAATGAGAAAAAATGCTTACCATGTATGACAACAAGGTGAGATTTTTCTTTTCCATGAAGAATGTCTCCCAAGAGCATTATATTTTTCCGTTATATGCTGAACGAAATGACCACCATACGAACATCAATGCCCAGTGGGCCGCCATGTTGGATGCACTTGAACCTGGAGACTGGGGCGCACTATGCAAACAGTGAGTGGTTGTCAGCGGTTGTATTGCCTAGCAACCGACGCCTGAAGCTATGACAACAAATTTTCATTGAAACGAAACAAAACTTTCGCTTTACAGTACTAATTGCTTTTTCCAAAACTTCAGGAGTAATGATGGATGAATATGCCGATGCCAAATGGAACCTACCGGGTTGGAGAATAGAACAAAAATATAATACAGATGTCTTGATAGGGAATTGGAACGAAGAACGTAGAGTGGTAGGTACACCGTGTATGTTTGGTGATCTATAGATCTTCGAAAATAGTAACATCCCCCTTGTAATAAGTGTCTGCACAATGGAAACTATCAGACTGTGTAAAATAAGTTGGAAAAGTTATATCAGGAAGCTTGCACTTATAGTACAAAATAAATAAATGGAGGTATGAAAGTCTTGTTCCTGTTGTAGAGATCAATATGCAAAAATTAAAGGCACGCGCAAAATGTAGGCTTGAAAATTCTGCTTTTGTTTACACCGGCAAATTGAAAAAGATCCCTCATAGTTTATTGATGTAAGAATCAGTTAAGTTTGTTTGATAAAAAGATCCCCTACAGGAAGGCGGTTTTTTTATAGCATCACAAGCGTGATACTTGCGTTCCATTCTTTGCATATTTTTGGTGTTAAATTATATTTTTGTTAGCTACCAGTCCCCAGTTTTGGTAACATCTTCTTGTGAATATTTTTCCCCCAGGCACAAACGACCATATCGAAGTAAAATTTTCTTCGATAAATATTCTTAAAACTGCTAGGAGTAATAAAAAAGATTTGTTGGGGAAAAGGGGGGGGTGGGGGGGAGGGGAATTTAAAACTTTGCAGAATTTTTAGATAATTGTAGGACTATTTGATATTAGGGTTAGAGCATCTTTAAACAGTGTTACTGAAGATGCTGTCATAAAACAACAAATAATCTTTTCAATAAAGTTCAAGTTTGTGCATGAAGAAAGTGAAGAAAAGTTTTGTTGGCTCTGATCCCTGCACAATCCCCCTAATATCCATTGTTTTTCTATTATACTTGAAAACATGTTATGTGAGAACATGCTGAGATGGACCGGCCCATGATCTATGGAATTTCTCTTACAGTGAGTTCTGGTTTATACCTTTGCTATTTGCCTGTTTTTAGTTTGAGAGAGGATCGTCCTTCTTTAATAGCACTCACAGAGTGGATTTCAAAAATTATGGAAAATGTCTGCCTGATGTCACAACCAGGAGGAAAGCCCTAGAGAAACATGATGTAAGTTAATTCAAAATTCTTATTCAAGGTCAATTAGTCCTTGCTCAGCTGTTTTGCTCTTTTACCTTGCATTTCCCTGTCTGCAGCTCACTTGTTAAGCCAGTCACCCATTCTCATCCCCAGACCAGCAATCCTTTTGGCTGGCACGCTGGTCGAGAGCTGCTGCTGGGGTTGAAGTCAGAAGTCTACAAATCACAGACTTCTGGCTATCTGTGCAGCCTTGGGAAACTATGTATCGTGCTTGCATATGCTGGACCCAGCTAGAGCCATTGATCTTTTGGCAGGCTAAAAGTATAACATATCATGGCCTATGTGTAGCTGCTACATGTAGGCAACACCTCTGGAGATAAGAATGCAAGTCATCATATCAGGTACTTACTGGTCAGATAGTCCTTTCGGCTAATTTGTTTGTTATTTTTTCACTAGGGTCTAGGAAAAGAGTTCATTTTCTCTCATCATCAAAAAGCTTATGAAGGAAACAGAATCTCCTGGTACGATCAGCAGTTTAATAAGCGAGAGATTGCAGAGTCTAAGCTCCCACCACTGAGATCATGGGATAGACAGAAGCTGGCCTGGGCACCAGAGAAATCGGACTATCCTATTCAAGGTGTGTCGAGTCAAATTTTGGATATTATGGTGACTGTTGTATCCTTATTGATGAAAAACTGTTTTACAGTGACTGTCTGACCCTGTTAACAAGAAAAAGAGGTTAATCTACTAAATCCTGTGTTATATGTGCTTTCAGGGCATCCCACAAACTATGGTTTATTAGAAAAACTTCAGCAAAAATGGAAGAAAGAAGCAGCCATGGAAAACCTTGGGATACATTTGTCCACATACAACTTGTCATACAACCGTCATCCTAGAGCATCATTCACTCTTCAACATTATGCACCGTCAAAAAGCCTCTCCTGTCATTTTCATCCTCATCGTGTCAACAAAGACCTTCATTTACGAGGAAAACAGCTGAACACTGCTCCAGAATTTCCACCAACCCTTGCTATCCCTCACAATGTGCCCCCTGACTTTCCACAATCAACCATTCTTGCAGTGTGAGGTTTATGTTGTTTGAGGACACTGGCTTACAACAAAATTTTCCAGCACCACCCTGTGTTCAAAAATTCAATACTGACAGCTACAATGTAGCTTTTGCTCATCTCCATCCTGTTGCAAAGTTTTAGAAGCAAAAATTGACCAACAAAGTAATATCTGCTCTTAAGCATAATTTGCTCGAGTGGACATGGACACTGTCATAATAAAAACTTAATCTGACTGTCTTGATAGTTACTGTACACTTTATTACAAGATTACTGTAATGGCATTTAATCTTGCAGCAATTTCTTATCATAATGAACTGCTTGTACAGTCTGGATTTTCATGTACTTAAAATTTAATCATGACCCATGATCAGGCCTTTTTAAGCCTACATATTATTGTTTACCATTTCTGAGCCAAATTAGGAATGGCAACTTTGTATGCAATGCAATAATGCATTAGGTTTGTGGGGAAAGTAAAAGTCCTACTAAGATATGGACTACATGTCTGTAACTACAGTTTTTAACTCCAAAAGTTATTATTTTGTTGTTATCCCTCCACATCATATCAGAAAACAAGTCTAAAACTTCTGATAAAATAAATATCATTACTTTATTTGGGTCTGATATACATAAATACAATAGTAAAAATAATTGCCTCATTTGTTTCGTGCACATTATCTACATCCAAGTTGTATGCCCATTGTTGGTCCTCTTTTGTCACACAGAATAATAACAGCAGTTCATAGGTCAGAAAGATTAGAACAGAAAATGAAAGTACAAGTAGGCTAGTGATTTTTACCAAAAGAACTTAACAGTACAGTTCTGAATATCTAGGCTTAATCTTGTACTTTCAAGTTCTTAATGAGCAAAATAACATACAAAAAAGACTGTCAGTTTTTACGGTATAAGTGTTCATAACTCTAAGTAAAATACCTGTAACACAGACATTAACTATTGAGATTTTGTAATATATATTTTTGGTCAATAAAAGTTGAGAATTGTTCAGTGAACATTAGTGTTCATCATTAAAATTTTATACTGTAAAATTAAATTTTAGCTAAAAGTGGTTTGAATGCAAATGTCCAAAATTGTTGTGGGTAATAATCTGGAACCAGAAGCAACAGAGCTTGCTCTAGAATAACTGAAGTTAGTCCCCATACCCTGTGAGGTCCATTGATAAAGACTGGTAAGATAGCACGTGAAGTAAACTTGGTGTAGCCATAATTGACTGGATTACACAAATGCATCAAAGGAAGAGTAAAAACTGAATCCACCTGCACGGACAGAGATATGGCGGCATAAGTTATATGAAACTTATCAGACCCCAGGCATTCAAAAGGTGGATAATGCTATCCACCAGATAAATCCTATCCAGGGGTTTCCATAATACTTATCTACTGGATCTGTAGTGATTTGTTAGGTGGATAGCCATAGTCCATTCTATTCTTGTAATCCTAACCCTACCCCCCTCTTTCCCACCCCCCCCCAACCATATGATCCATTCATTCTTATGAATTTTTATGCCTTTTTTCGTGTGTCAACGCTTTATAAATAATGACACGCAGTAATTTATTGCGATATTATTATAGAGGCACCCTCAAAAATAAGTATAAAAAAGATTGTCTGTCGTTAAAAATGCCACACCAAAGAGGGGACAGCCAGATGTCAATATTACAAGGATAACTACACAGTGTGCTTTGCACATCTAAGATATGGAACTTTATCGTCATATTGAAAGGCAGGTGTTTTGTCAAAAGATTCTCAGAGTGTTCACTGACATTTCAGTAAATGAAAGACGCTACATTATCAAGGAAGGGCCCTTTTGCTCAATGGCATCAACATTTTTAATGACCTTTGAAAAAAATTTTTTTGAATGCTTAAGTTCTGCTCAGTAAGGAGAAGTAATTTATCCCAGGCCATGTCCTTTAATTTGAAATATCCTGTGATAAAACTCTGGACACAAAACTTCCATAACAAAGTCCAGGACAATAGCTGTAAGACCCCAGATTCTATGGGGGCCATTGATAAACACTGGTCTTTTCATGATTGTTACTCCAAGGTGTTTGTGTTTAGTGTATCTTTGATTGTTAGTGCTGCACACATGATCCAGGGTAAGTGTGAACACTGAAGCAACCTAGGGTAAAGCAAGTGAAATGGTAATTTTATAATCCTGCTATCTTGAAAGACAACGGACCATAAGGACCAAGACCAAACAACACCTAATTCACCTACCTCACGTGGATTTAGTTGAAGTGAAGTGACATCAATTTCTCCAATAAACCCAAGAACAGGTGTGATTGCAGTTTTACCAAGCTATCAACAAAATAATACAAGTATTTAAACAAACCATGATCGATTTAAATTGGATTGTCAAAGAATATTTCTCTGAGTTTTTCTTTTAAAAATTCTCACCTTCAACTTTCAACTTTATTTAAATTTCTGTTCTCTAATTTTATTGTTTATTGGGCGGAGAAGACAGGGCTGAGAATTATTTGTCATTATACTTTACTCTTACAAATCAGATGTTTGGGTATACATTATAAATTATTGTCCAAAAAAATTAATATTTTTTCTTTTCAAGTGATAAGATCAGATTTCTTACCAAAAGTGACTAAAATCAATACTAGCAAGTTCCTCTCTTTTCTTCTTTTAAACACTACGTTGTAATGCACAGTGCAATGTACCTGAAGTTTTAGATTAAGCACAACCATTAGATTAACTAATTTTTGACAGACAATGCCTTACCCGATCAGGCATTGTTGGCATTGGAGCCCAGACCTCAACATGCCTTCTGTCCAACCCCAATTCCTCATCCATTTCCCTGATAGCTGTCTCTATTAAACTTGAGTCTTCAGGATCTTTCTTTCCTCCAGGAAAGCTAAAAAAATTAATATGTAATATATTAATTATATAATTAATTAATACATATCTTGTTTCAAGCTTGCAGCAAGCTGATTTGTTGCAAGACAGGTTTGAATGTGTGAGGTAAAATGTGTAACACTGCTTCCATTCTACTGTAACACTGCAAAACAAGTTGCATGTTTTTGTTGCCTCTTTTACCATAGCTTAAAAAAGGTCTTATTCACCCAGGTTTATAAATGGGTATTGGTGACAGGTGCTTTATCCTACAGAAACTGAAAATTAAGTTCTGGCTGTATCAGCCTCATGGCTGGTGTGTGCTTTTACTTAAATTCTATTCAAAGTCCAGTCACCAAAGTAAGTTAACAAAGTTCTGCTCCTGCAGTGCCCAGTCGCTCCTGGTGCCTAACATTAAATTTGATCCCAGGCAATGAGAAAATCTGAATGACATTTTTTACACCTATTTTCAGACCTTGCCTTTAGGCAGAAATTATGTCATCATTACTTAGATTAGAGCGCACACTAAAAAAATTCTTCAAATGCATTTCAAATTCCCAGATTTCTATGTTGTTCTTATTCATTTATTGAAATGATAACTACATAGTTTTTCTTAATTTTAATTAATTTATTAATTGATTTATTTTTTTTTAAAATCTATTTTAGTGTCCCCACTCAGTGGTTATACACCGCTATTACAGTTTTGACACTTTAATAAAGGTATCATCATCATCATCATCAACTACGTTCGTACGCTCCCGTAGTTCTCTCAAAAACCATACCCGATTCCAGACCAAAATAAGCGAAGTGTATACCTGTTTTCAGACCAAAAAGGCCCCAAATCCTACCTACTGGGGTAGGCTTATAAGCTTGTCGGCTTATATAAGGGATATCATTTTATAAGGAAACAGTTGGTGGAATCATCAAACACCCCCAGCTGTTTTCTCAGGCTAGGCTAGCCAGGCAAACCAGACCAGTGACTTGCAGGACTATGGGTTTTACAAAACACTGTTTTTCCAGTCTTTCTGTAAGCGTCCCAGTTCTGGGCTGGCTTGCTTCACATGATAGCGGGATAAAAGTTATCTTGGCAAAGTGAGCCCAGCCCTGCTTACGTGTCCAGGTGTTAAGGATAAGTTGGAAGTGGGCTGAATAAGTAATAAAATAGAGTCTAACCTGACTTCTCCTCTGTGGCTATTCAACTGACTTGAGCGTAGAGTAAAGAGAACTGAAGGAACAGAGTCCACAAGGCACAGAGGCACAAATACTGCCGCCTCCTCTGTACAGCTAGCTAACCAAGGCTTGCGAGGCTTCATCAACCCTAGCTGCTTCACAACCCGTGCTTTATTCGGGTCTGAAAAAGCATCATTTAAACTGTTTAACGTTCTTGGCAAGCTGGAACTCATTGTCCTATGATGCTGTGACGACGAAAAAGGTGAAGATTTACAGTGCAACTTTAGATGACAAGATAAGGGGAAACTTCTTGAGACAGAAATTGTGAAACGTCTAACACAGTTGGTTAGATGCCCCCTGGTAGTGCAAAAAGATGGAGGAAAGACCAGACTAAAACTCTGTCCAGTCGACCTTGTATGAACGATTCTTGTAAAGGTTCCTGTCGCCAGCATTATACGTGATTACGTTTTAACAGTGTATTTGACGCTTAGCTTTCCGCTCTTCTAGCTTTTTAGTGCGGCTATTGGATAGAGACCTCCATTTTCCAATAATGATTTTCGTAGTGTTATGTCATATAAGCCTCATGAAAGTTGTTTTGTAAAAACCGCTGTGCAAAATATCCCAAGGTGCCAAAATGGCGGTCGCCAAAAGGACTGTGGAGCTTTTCTATGACGTTATCTCTCCGTATTCGTGGTTTGGATTCGAGGTAAATCTATATTTCTGTATGAAAGAGGACTTACTAGTAGTTCTAAAAAGATTTTACTCCAAGATATCAACAGTATAACAAGTATGAGGCTTGGGCCATCCATGCATTTTAATATACATCCCCTCCCCCTCCCCCCCTTATAAAGAAGTATTTAAAAAATTTGAAAGAACAACTGAAGCAAGATTTCCTTATAGCCCCATCCATTGATTACACATACAACTATTGTTCAAAGAAAACAAAAGTCAGAAAATTTGATGTCAAGGGGGTGGAAGGAAAAATTACAGAACAGCCCGTCATGACTTTCTCTAAGGGATCGGACTCGAGCTCTATAGAGACATTCCATTTTATATACAATCCCCCCCCCCCCCCGTTGACCAAAAGTAAAAAATGGAATTTCTGAAGGTTGCAGGACTGAAGACCAGATTTTCTAGATAAGTAGCAGATCGAAAAGCAAAAAATTCTGAAGCTATAATTTTATAAGACTCATACGGCAAACTTTTCGAGGGGCTTTGGGGGGAAAAGAGCGTTTTTCTGATGGCTAAGAAAATATCAAAGTGCTTCATCAAGAGCGGGGAAGGGGCTAGGGGTGGGGGGTTGGTGTATGTTAAATGGAATACTAATATACATATAATATACATAATAAAATTTCTCAGAATTGTCGCATAGATGAGCATATGTCAAGCAAGTTAATAAGAAAAAATATTGTGCCAGAGTCCGCCCTGCATATTCTGTTAATTTCTCTGCACTTGACTGACCTGAAAAGGGACTGCTGGAAGTTATTGGTTATTAATGCAGCTATCCCTGGTAATTTCCTTCAGGTCCTATGTCGCTATCGATCAAGATGGAATTTAGACTTGCAGTTTCGGCCTTTTTATCTTGCTGGAGTCATGGGAGCATCCGGTAAATCCACATATAACAGTACTTTACATTTTCTTTCAATTTGTTTTTAAACTCATGTACATTTTAAATACCCAAACAGTAGTTCTTGTACGTGTAGTATACCACTTGTTATGTTGCAAAAATAAACAGAACTTAATATTATAATATTTTAAGAAGTTGAGCACATCACTCAAATCTTTTAGAGTAATAATAATTCCCAGAATAAGAGCAGTTCCACCAAATGGACCTGTTCGCTCAGAATGCAGAGGAAAGATAATGTCAGTGCAGCTGTGGCTTCTCAAAATTTACGACAAATTTTGGGGGCAGGTTGAAATCCTCATTATTTGATAAATTTTTACTTATTAACTGACTGCTGTAAAAAAAAACAAAATCATTGTAAAATAAAATATAAGAACCACAATGTGTGGTATTTTCTCTATAAATGTGTCACTTTATTGGTTTACTTAATTTCATAATTTTAATGGCGGTTTCATTAAAATATCCAGGAAAGTTACGGATGGGTGTTTGTTGTTAATTCTAGCTTTTATTTCTTTTGGTAGGAAACAAGCCTCCTGGATTGGTGCCAGCCAAAGCAATGTATATGACAAGAGACCTTGAAAGATTGAGAGATTTTTATCAAATTCCTTTCAACCATCCTTCTGTAAGTCTGTCTGTTGAGTGGCAGGGAAGTGGGCTTGGAAATTGATGATAATATATTTCTTTGCAATTCAGTCTTTGGTTGCATTGCTGATCAAAAACAATTAATATTATTATTATTACTATGTGTACTTTTCAGACTCTAAATGTATTTGTGATTTTTGAACCATTAGAGTTTAAGTATGTTCTTTGTGTAATATGCATAATATTTGTTTCCACCCACAGTAAGGTACTTTAGTTAAATCGGTTATCCTTGACATACTTGCCAACTATGATTTTATATTGAAGATATGGTTGTTGTTGTTGTTGTTGTTTTTTTTCTCATAGGATCCTGCTAATGTCATGTTTGTAAAAGGTAAATTAACAACTTGTGAAGCTTTTGTTTATAAATATTAAGGAATTGTGTCTGTTGTTTTACTGAGCTGGACTATGACAAGTAAGCGTCTCCTATTAATTATTGATAATACATCACATCACATTTTTCTTTTCCCTAGGTTCTCTATCTGCCATGCGTCTTGTCACAGCAGCGAGCAAGGATCATCCAGAGCTTGTTGAAAATCTTAGTCGGGAATTTTGGATGCGTGCCTGGTCCAGGGTGAGAGAATGAACGTTAATCCCCACCATAAACCACATACAAATTCTCCTATAAACTGATCTCTACACATTTCCATAAAGAATTAGTTGAGGAAGTTGGATAAAAGATCATAGCATTTTCCCTGTGGTGATTATTTTATTAATTCTCACAATCTTTTCTCTTGATTCTGTATTGATGTTGTTGAGGAGAAAATTGAGGTTGATCACTTTGGGGACTTAAAGGGTTAAAATAATGAGTAGTAAACTCAAAACCCAGAGTTTTCCTACCATGCAATCATATGATTAAGTGTGTAAAAAGGTAGAAATTAGTCGGTTCTTTTTATGGACTAGTTTCTTATAAGAGAATATCAAAATACCTTTATCAACAATAAGATTTTTATTTAGCCTGGGGTGAGCAACTGAACTGGTATTTTTTACAAGCACCTATTTAGCCACAAAAAATTTTATTGA